CATCAAAGTGTACCCCTGTGTAGCTGGGACAGGAGCCATCAAAATGCAAATGTGGGTTTTGAGAATGCTAATGCTGGAAGTGGAGAACAATACGGAGACAGACTTCTTGGGGCCAGCCGAGGGCCCCAGGGCAGGATGTGGGAGCCCAGTGGGGGCAGGGATGAAAGAGGGAAGGAAGCCGAGTGAGAGGGCTGGGGAGGAGAGAACCGCGGGGGCGACTGTGGCTGAAAGACAAGGAGGGGCAGGACTAGACAGGGCAGTGCTGAGAGGAGGGGTCAGAGGACCTGACCGCTGACCGCTGACCTGAGGCTCCCATCGGCACCGAAGAGGCTGAGCTGGGGACGGTTCTGTGAGCGGCAGGGTGGGGGTCCTGGGCTTGGGCTGGAGGTCAAGGCCTGGAGGAGGAGTCAGCGGTGTCAGGAAGAAGGGAGGTGCGGTGCTTGCTTGGGAGCTGGTGGCCTAGGAACAAGGGCTTGAAAGGAGGGCACAAGGGCTTGAAAAGAGGGGCCAAGGAGCCCCGCTGAGGGCTGCTTCCCCGGATTTCAATCTTACTCTCACCAGTGCAGATGAATTGCCTTCTTTCAAGGCACTCCACTCCTTTACCTGTAACATAGAATAGACTGGCTGCTGGGAGGACTGGATAAGCACAAATTCGGCCTGGTGGAGGGCAGGCTTTGTGGATGGCACAATAACACATGCACGGTTAGACAGGAGGGGGCAAGGAAAAGTACTGTGTCACCTTATCTGCCATTCCTAGGGATGGTCTGAGCTACCATGAACTAAGATGGCACAAGGGACCCCGAAGAGGCGAAGGATTGACCACAGTTCCAAGCCAACAAGCCAGTGCTGAGGAGGAGGCCCCAAGCCTTTGAGTGGTGATCGAAAAAATATTCAACCCCAGGAGCTTATTTTGGAGGGGTGGGGTGCTCGGTTTTAGTTCACTTCTCAGGTCTCAACAGTTCCCTGCTGCAGCCTGGCAGCACATATCAACTGCTGCAGCACCACTCTCCATCTCCTACTTAGACTGGAGGTTCCTGGGAGGCAGGGAGAATTGTGCCACCCTTGCTCTGTGTCGTCAGGGTCATGTACGGTGTTTGGTGAATGAGTTCATTCACTGGAGTCCCTGGGGCCAGGCCCAGTGCTGAGCACCGGGAATACACAGAAGAATAAAACCTGATCCCTGATCCCTGCCCTTGTGCAACTCCTCCGTCGGTGAATGAATAAAAGAAAGAATGAATGGAAACTGTGGGAAGGGCCACATGCTCATTGCCCTCCTGTTAATTGCTTTATGAAATGGTAGATAGTGCAGAGATACACCGCTCAGATACCCTGCCCTCACTCCTCCACGCACGCTGACTATGTGGAGCCTGGAAAGTGGCTGCTATCTGGACCTCAGTACCCTGAGCAAAAGCTGCCTATTACAGGAAAAGGGAAGCCCCTGCTCTGCCGTCGCCGACATGTATCTCAAGAGTGAAGGGGTGGAGGAGGCATCTGGAACAGTTCAAATACATCTTCTCTCCTCTGCTTTCCTAGAACCAAGAGCTGGGGGAGCTGGACTTTTCCCGTGGGTGGAGCTAACTGACCGCCCCAGACAGCGCAGAGGTGCTTCACTCCCGAAGCTCCGCCCTAGAGGTCGGGGCAGGGTCTGGCGACAAGCCTTGGCCTTGCGCGGAGGTGGTGTCTTTGCACAGTACCGACAAGTGCGTGCTTTCCCAGGATGTAAGGCTGATGCTGCGTGGGGTGGGGTGAACCCCGGAGCAGGGGACGTGTTCCTCTTCGGTGGAAATACCATAGCCCACAGCAGCCGCGTGTGTGCGCGCGCGCCCACTTGGGAAACCGAAAGTGAAACAGGCCAGGCACATTTCTAGGGCTCTTGTGGAACTAAGAGGGAGCACAATCGGCCCAGGCCTCCCAGCACAGTTGGCAGAATGTCTGAAAATCGGGCTGTACAGGAAAGGCCTCACAGGCAGCAAAAAATGGCCTGCTGGCCTCATTCTCTGCACTGGCGTGGCCCACAGAATCCGCACTGCAGCCCTGAAACTCCAGTATGAAACCACAAGGGAGTCCAAGTGCCCAGGAGCCACCCCTACCTGAGACTCAGCCCGAGGGCAAGGCCAAGGCAGCCTCCCAAAGTGGCCAAGGAGGTCAGGACTCGAGACTCCAGGAGTCTCAAGAGTAGGGAGAGCGCCAGAACCTCAGACCTCTGTGCAGGACCTGGTGGGTCCACCGTAGGTGTTCCAGAGCCTCGGAAGGAGCACAGCAAACATGGGTCACACTACTAGGTGGTGCAGACACTGAAAGCCCTGTATGTCCTGACCCGGGGTGCACTTTGTACTAGAGAATGTGTAGGTCTCGGAGATGAGCCAAGGGGCTGTGGAGACCCCTTAGGGTGGGAGAACTCTCCAGGGCACAACTGTCAGCACTGTCATCACCACAACCCAAATCCCTGCCGTCGCTCCCCTCCTATTGTGTCCTCCCTGTGCTCTGCTTTCCTTTCGTTATCTCACTGCTTTCACAGCCCACACTTGAACCCGCAACCATTTAAACATAAAAAGCCAACCATATGGTCCCCATCTTCAATCCCCTGGATGGCTCCTCATTGCTCTTAGGACGGCTGAAGTCCTTAACATGTCCCACAGAGCTCAGAGGGACCCTGGCTGTCCTTCCCACAGCCCTTCTCCGCGCACTGCCCTTCTCCGCACTCTTTGGTGTGCCAGAACTCTCTGCCACAAATGGTCCGGGAGGAGGGGTCACCCTCTAGCACAAGGCGATTGTCCATGTGTGCAATTGACTAGGGACTGTTTAACTACAGTGATGAATGGTTACACCAGTCTGTCCCAAGTTGGGCTGTAAGTTTTCTGAGGACCGGGACCATGGCTGTTGCTACTCCAGTGCTGGCAGGGTGTTGCATGGATGGCAGATGGCTCTTAAGTGGTTGCTCAGTAAATGAAGTAGAGTCATCAAGTCAGTTCTTTGTTTCCCAGCTTCTTCACTATAGGAACATTTAGGCAGGTGACACCAGGAGCATGTCCCCACCCTGTCCACCCATCAAGGTGGTTACCTCCTCTTTTTTTTTTGGTGGTGGTGGGGCCTCTGGTACCAGCAATCGAACTTACGACCTTGCTCTTGCCAGGCAGGTGCTGTGCCGCTGAGCTAAGTCCCCAGCCCTTGGTTACCTCCTCTTTACCCTCCTCTCTGTCAGTTTTGACTCAGTCACCGGGTGATGGTGATAGTGGCAGTGCTGGTGGTACCAGGGATGGGGCAAGGGGGTGGCCGGCTTCTGGATTATAGGTAAGCAGATAATATCCAAAAACCTCTCTTTCCATGTTCAGAAAGTTTCCTTTGTTTAGCAACCTTCTTTACAAATAACCATGGCTGGCTCCCACTCCTCATTGCTAATCCCCAAAAACAACAACATACATCTTTTTAAAATATACACATATAGATTTTTGGGGGCCAGGCTGGGGAATACATCTTTTAGTCTAACAAATATAGATTAAGCTTATGATGTATCTGAACAGACACCAAGATAAAATGTTAGCATAACACTTTCTTATGAAACGGACACATGGTACACTGCCCTGTGGTGGGCAGGCTGTATAGCTTGCATTCTTTAGGTTCTTGTTCTCCAGTGGATGCTGGAGAAGGGACATCTCCTGGTTACCCTTGTGCTACCTGGCACATATTAGGTTCTCCACGTATATTTGCTGAATGAATAAATGAATGGAGATTTTACAGATGTGGAAAGAGTCCTGGAGGCCAGGGGCAAAACCAGAGCACCCAAAGCGCTACAGGCATTTGTTCTAGAATTTATTTGTGATCTCTTGGGAGGCTTATTATTTATGATACAATTTCCTAACAGGCAGAAGACTAGAGACAGGTTCTAACACCTTTTGGCTATTAGAACATAGGTAAGTTGCCTAATCTGTCTGAGCTTCCACAGCCTGGTCTACTAAACAGGTACAGTAATTTCTGACTTGTCTGAGAATGATTTTTTAAATAAATTCAACCTAACTTTTGATGTCAGGCACTGAGGATACGGTACAAAACAAAAGTAGCCTCTGTTCCAGGCAGTGGGAGAGACATGGAGCAAATACACTTACAGGGTTACAGTTTGGGTTACCTGTGTGCTGGAGACACAGCAGTGGGACCTACGGATTAACCAAGGGCTAACCAAGGGTGAGGTAAGAGTTCCCCAAAGAGGAGGCACAGGTGGTGGTGGTAGTGGGTGGGCTGGGGAAAGAGCAGGAACTTCAAACATTCCAGGAAACAGAAATCAGGTTGGATGGGAAGAGGGACGGTCGCTCAAAGAGGGAGCAACACGATGACACGGACGTTAGGAACACTCAGGCTGAAAACTGGAATCTTCTCCAGGATAAGAAGTACAATCTAAAACTAAGGATTCTAAGATAATCAGGCCCACAGCTGGCACTGAAAGTGAGAGGAGGGCTGAGAGAGCGCTTGCATGGCAGGTCCACCGCACCATCGAAAGAATTCCTCCAAAGACTAGAGAAGAGAAACAATAACACAAAGGAAGTATGAGTGTGTTGACCAGGATCGCACAGAATTTGGATACCACCAGGATAACCGCCCTGTGGAGGGAGGAATCCGTGCCCCTTGTCCCTCTACAACGGTATGGGGTGCTGGTGGAGTAAACTGGAACTACTGCAGTGTCTGGGATTTGGAGAACCTAGCACGTGGAGGGTGCAGAGTCTCACGCCAGACCCCTAAGTCCAGAGTGGCAGCCCAGAGGTGCAGACCCGGAGCTCTTGCCGGCTACCCCGCCCCCTCACTGGGTCTCTAGGAGCCTCACCTGCCCACTCGCATAGCCAACCCCTAGCAACCCGGCGGCGGGCGCGGCGATTGGCTGCGCGCGCTCCAATGGGCGCCCGCGGGCGCGCGCTTGGGCTGGGGGCGGGGCCGGAGGGCGGGGCGCTGTGAGTCAGCTCGGCGGTGCCTGGGAAAATTCCTGCGGGGTTGTCAGGCAGCTCGAGGCGAGCCTTTTTTTTTTTTTTTTTTTTTTTTTTTAACAATTCAGAAGGGATAATCCTACTGAATAGGGAGAGGCACTCGGAACCTGTCCCCGGCCCTCCGAAGAGGCTCGGCCCGCTCCCTGGCGCCCCGGGCTGGCCTGGGTGTCGGGACGCGGCTGTCCTCCGGATCGGGCTCTGGCCGGGCACCCTCGTGCCGAGGGCAGCACCCGCTCCCGCAGGCCTGGGCCCGCGCTCCGGCTGCTAGCGGGCGTTTAGTGGCCTTGTGCTTCGCAGGTCATCTTGCCACCTTTCTAAGCTGCGTTTCCTCGGTGGCAGCGTAAAAGGCAGACATTGTGGGTGGGCACTCGAAGTGCTGTCCTAGCTGGACCGCCCCCACCCCACCTCAGTTTCCTCACCTGTGAGAGGAGGGAGTTGGTCTAGCAGAGTGCCGGGACATCAGGTGGCCTCTCCCGGGTCAGAGGGCTTGGGGTAACCTGGCCCTGAGCTGGCCGGCAGCCCCGCTGTGCAGATGCTTCCTTCCTTCCCAGGATACCCAGCTGATCGCACCCAGGGTAGGGAGGGGGGCAATGACCAAAAGGGCTGAGAGGCCTAAGGAAATAAGCAAGGACTGGAGGGGAGTGTGTGCAGTTTTTAAATGGACATCTGCAGAAGGTGAGTTACTCCCCTGCCCCTGGTGAGTTCACAGCTTAAGCAGGCCTAGTCATAGGGACGCTACACTGAGCCGGCCAGATCAGCCCCTGAGGCAACAAGTTGAAGAGCTGACCCGAGAGGCATCTTCACAGGCAGGAGTCAGGGACACAGGAACACTGCCTATGTTTGTGTATGAACAGCACGATTTGGTTTAAAACGAAAAGAAAAAAGCAGCGCAGGCTGCCAATGACTCGGTGTGACCTTGTGCAAGTCACTTGCCTGCTCTGGCTCCTTGTCATCTGCTGCAGGAGGAGAGAAAAAACTAATTGACCTCTTCAACTCCCCTCCGGCTCTGACACTCCATGATTAAATGGAGTAATGTGTGAGTAATTGCTCTGAAAACTGCAGAGCGCTGGGGGTCTTTTTGTTGTTGTTTTTATATAGATAAAGGTGGCCCTGGAGTTCGTTAAGCTCTGTGACTGGTTGTAAATCAGGCCATCTACAGCCGGCCCTGTGAGACTGCAGCGCATTTGTTCGGGGACAGGGTTTCATTGTGGCTTGTGAATCAGGATTATTCATTCAGCGCCTCAGCCGACTACCTCCCTGGTTTTGCACCCCTTGCTGGGCACTGCCTGCCTTGGTTTCTCCACCTCAGTCTGCTTTTCCAACCCCTTGTGACTCAGAGGATTGTATTTTGCCTTTGCCAAACTTAGAGCTTCTGGATACAGGACTGCAAGTCTGGGGAAAGAGAAACTACAACCAGATTGGTTTTCCCACAACCAATTTTGACCATCCGCCTTTCTGCTACTCAGATCTTCTCAATCTTTTGGGAGCTCTCAACATTACAGAGATAGTGCAGGAGGAGGAGGTTGAAGGTAGACAAAGAAGAGGGCAGAAGCCAGTCATAAAAGGCTTTTTGAGACAGGGTCTTTTTAAATTGTCCAGGCTGGGCTCTAACTTGGAATCCTCCTGCCTCAGTCTCCTGGGTGCTGGGGATACATGTGTGAGCTAGAAAAAGGATTAAAAAAAAAAAGATACTTCTATCAATTTTGAAACTGAAAGATGTCAAAGCCACAAGAAGGCTCAGGCATGTCATAATACATTATGTAAAAAGGAGAATTCCTAAAGACTGGGAACCTCATGGAGAATTTGCCTCTCAGAGGAAGTAGTATCCAGGATACTTCCCAAGCAGGGAGATGTGTTTGTTGCAGTGAGAAGAGTGTGTAGCTTGAGGGAAGGTGGTGGGTGAGGCAGAGAAACATGAGAATGGCAGGGTTGGGGCTCCTAGGAACGGTTGGTCACCAGGTGTGAGGAAGGCAGAATGGAAGCTGGAAGCAGGGTTATAAATGCTCTTATCTGTCATGTTGAGGACTTTGGGCTTTATTTTGTAGAAAACAGCAAACACAAGCCCTTGAATAGGTGGAAGAGATCAGTAATGAAGAACATTGTTTTTCCAGCTGCAGGTGATACGATGAAATTCAGGTCATGATTGATATATAAAAATGAAATGAAATAGATAAATATAGAGTGGAATAAATAATGTCAACATACCTGCATGCAGCACTGTTTCATGAAGTGTGTGTGTGTGTGTATGTGTGTGTTTATGTCCTCTTCTGGCTTGTGGTATAAAGTGTACTTGTTTCTATGTGTCGTGGTCAAAGAAGTCTGAAATCCACTGGGTCTGCAGAATCTTCAGGCTGGGTGGTGGAGGTTGGGCTGAGGAGGGCACAGGAAGTTTCTGCAAATGGGATAGGTGCATTCCCTTCCACTTGAAGTTCTTCAAGGGAAATTGCTTAACTTTTGAGAGATCAGCCTACTGATCTTTTCCAAGATCTCCTGCACAGAGGAAAGGTGATTGTGTTTTCTCTACAGAGGAATGGAGGAGACTATTGAAGTCTCCTGCTTCATTGGCCTAACAGTGTGCAGACTCTGGACCAATAATTGGAGCTTCGTTCTTTCCACTCTGTCCTAGACCCACACAAACCATGACCTTGTGAGTTAAGTATCATAGTAGTTTTCCATTCTTCCAATGAAATATTATGCAATTATTACAGCATTTTGGATTAGTGCAGCCAGTGACTGGTATCTAGCCGTGGGCTTGGTGAAGATGGGAGGTGCCATCCCTCATGCATGAGTAATACCCCTATATTTAAAGCCCTGAAGACAGCTATTTCATAACTTCCCATGGTTGGTAATGCCCGAGTCTTAATAGACTGAGTATAGGGCAGCCTCTTGGGGATAACATGGTCCCTTTCTGCTGCAATCATAGCACATCTCTAATGTTGGCCTTGGAGAAACCTACTTTAAACCCATCTCTATGAACCTACATTTACTTCTTTCCAGACAGCTTAAAATTCTGCAGAGGCGGGGCTGGGGATTTAGCTCAGCGGCAAAAGCGCCTGCCTGGCAAGCGCAAGGTCATGAGTTCAGTTCCTGGTACCGGAGAAAAACAAACAAACAAACAAAATTCTGCAGAGGCCCATTTATTTCCCTGAGTCCAGTCAAATAGAGGATTTCGCTCCTTGGCTGTAATAGAGCATGATCCAGTCTGCTTTGTTCTTAAGGTGCCAGGCGCTGTACACATTTGATTCTATACTGTACACACTCCTGTCCTCCTGTTGCCCACACCCAACCCCATGCATATGGTACAGAGCCCAGTTCAGTTTACATAACCAGATGCACGGCCTCTGGGTTATGCCTTAGGGCAAACATACCCACACCGCTCTTTGGACACCATAAATGTGCATATCCTTCCTATCTAAGCTGGGGTTTTTCCAGTTCTTTTAGTCCTGGCTGATTCATAACCCATAATGGAAAGAAATATTTACCATGATGTGAATACCATTATATGCCAAGCCCTGTACTAGGCACTTTATAGATGCAGAAAAGTCCAAAAGAGATTATTATTTTTCTTTTATGGATAAAGAGAATGAGGCTTGGCTATTGCCCATAGTTGCTTATCTAGTTAATAATTCATTTCAAAACCATTTCTTTACATTTTAATCATACGCTTTGACCTCAGAGATATATCATTTCCCCTGATTTCCTTCAGCAGCTGCTTTGCATGAGCACTCAGAGCACCTTCCTTTTGTCTTTCCGTTCAGTTTTACAAAAAATCATGAAGAGCTATGTACTTCTTTAGAAAGAAGATCTAAATGAAATTTAGGTTTGCACTGGGACTTATAGGAGAAGAAGTTCCAAATGACATTGGGTCAGGCGATTGCCTCTTGACAGATGTCCCTGGCTGTGAGGGAAAGGGCTATTCTCAATAGAAGACTGGAAGAAAGAAAGACAGTGCCCAGCAGCTCCATATTTAAAGAGCCAGTCATAGTCTTCATTTTGTCCATCCCATACCATTTTGTCCATTATTTCTTTGTTCCTTATTTATAGCATTGCCTTTCATCCTTCCCTGTCTTTGGACATCCATTCTAGTGTCAAAAAAGCCAATCAGTCATTCCACAAATTTTGAAGAAGGATCAAAGGCCACCTTTGCTATGACTAACACCACTCTCCAGAACAAGATCAGCCACTCTCTGGCCAGGGACAAGATCAAGCTGGCTTTGGGGAAGGTATGATGTGGGATGTGGAAGAAGTGTACACATCCGCAGCTGTCAGGCTGATGGATCATCCTTTTGATCAAGGTGAACCCCTACTAGACAAAACAATTCTCTCTTACTTTACTTTTGCTTAGAAGAAGGAACCCTAAGGTTCTCTGAGTCAGTAAGGCTCTTGTGGGTCATTGAGCCCAGCCTCTCCTCTGATGAAGGAAACTGTTTTAGAGCATCTCTTAACATTCTTTAGCCAACATCTCCTTGAATACCTCGAGGTGTTGGGAGCTAACTTGTATCTCCTCACCCCACTTTTGGAAAGTTCTATTTCTTAAGCAGTTCATATAATTATCAAGCTTGATCTGATTCCCCAGTGATTAATTCCTGGGTGCCCATATCTACTTCTTGAACTAGTAGAGAAAAGTTGTAATCTCTCTTCCATATAATAGTTCCTCAAATATTTGGAGATAGTTATAATGTCATTCTTAGTCTTCTTTTCCTCAGTGCCAGTTTGGCAACTGTGTTGGCACTCTTGTAATATCAGTCTCACTGGAATGCCACATTTCAGTGAATGAATGAACAATGAGACTTTACCGTGTGCCAAACCAGTGAGCTAAGAATACTTTACATTTTATAGAGGAGAAAATGAAAACTCATGCAGATAAGGATTTGGGTGAAGGTTACAGAGAGACATGACAGAACTAACACATTAACCTGGCCTGCACATATGCATTGTTTTTTCTTTGGCTGTTACCAACGTAGGGGCAGTACCAGAAACCAAGATACAGGCCTTGTCATCCTTAACTAAATGTGAATCTTGAGCGGAGATGGTACCTGTCTCTGCAGTCTTTAGTCTTCTTTGTTAGAGCCCTTTTGCTCCCTCTCCTTCTCCCCCACCCGACTGTAGCTGTCTGGTAACAAGATCGGGCATCTGGATGAAACAGCACAGAGGATGATGGTTTGTTTCCATGATCAGGGACACTGTATCCAAATCAGACTGCACTGGCACGTCTCAGGGACAATTACTGGTGCACATAAATAAAAATTGCTAATTTCATATGTGTAGGCTTACAGTGGAAAATATTGGAGACATTTGTCACTTTTCCATAATATTTTTGGAATACAGGAGCCCTCTGGTGGCCAAAATTGCAGCAGGAAGGTGTCTTTGAGAAAGGCATGCTGAGACTTCCTGTCAGAACTCCCCTTAGTGATCTCTGGCATAGCTTGGCGTTACCTGGTTCCCAGTGGTCCTCTTCCTTCCTTTCTGCCTTGATGATGGCTTACCTTCTACAGATGCTTTCTTGTTCTTTTCCCCTAGAGCTCCTCTCTGCACCTTCTCCTGCCACCCCAGCTGTCACACCCTGATCCTCTTGGAATCCCTGCTCCCTGCCATCTTCAGCCTCAGAGGAACCCCTAGGAAATCAAGCCAATTTCCCCATGGCAGGTGTGGACCGACAGCTGCTGCCTCTGCTG